TGTTTGCATATAGTACTACTACTAGTACAGCTTGGGAAGTAGTAATCTATTTGACATGATGCTGGTTGGCCATTTGTGAGATGCTGCGGGGAGTCGTGGTCCGCTTCCATTTGTACGACATCCGGAGCATAACCAGAACGGTGCCCAGGCCCCGGGAGCATTCAGGGGAATGACAGCCCCTTCATACTCCAGACTTCTTACAGAAATAACTCAATAATTACTCCGGATTGAATCCAGCTTTCATCCCTGAGAATCAACCCGAGGATGATTGGTCCACGTGCCCACCCGCAAAGTCCCGGAGCGGGAAATGCTCATAACCGGGCTGTGGCGGTGCAGTAATTGAAAGTAAACTTGCAGTGTTGTACCCGCAACCGGGAAGTTCGGCCCGCCCTGCTTTTTTCTCGGTTGCAGGGCACGGAATGACTAATGTGTGGCGACGCTCTAGTTACAGTGTAACTAACTAGTAGTTTTATGTTCGCTGTGTTGGTCTCAGCCACAGCCTGCGCTCGCTGGCCGTCATAGCCGTAGATCTCGGCAAACCTCAACTTGTTCCCGTTCCTCCCAAGGCCCATCTTGCTCTCCCATCTCCTCTCCATTCTTCCTCCTCATACTAACGAAGTTGTCCTCTATATTCCACCCTCTCCTCTCCCCCCCGCTACTTTGATCAATAGAGAGTGCTTTTGCTCTCTGATGAGTCCCGTTTTGTTACAGGTGCTACGGCAATCCTAGTCGACACCTGTGTTTTTCTCGCTCCCTTACAAACCGTGCGTGTTCCTTTCATCCGCCTCGAGAAAAATCCCGCAGCTTAAGCAACCGGTCCCCGTCAAACTAACTCGCGATCTTTACCTGCCATAGTTCTCGAGATAATTCGCCGTGTCATATATCTCGTTCGCCTAATCGTCGTCGAGCTTATAGCATATTATTTTTCAGCTCGCATTACCCCATAGAAAATCTGTCGCGATGTTTCGTTCCACTGCCGTAAAGGCCACCAGCGGCCTGCGCAGTCCGGCCTGCTCTTCTTGCAAGAGATCCCTCTCTCTTGCTGCTACTGCCAGATCTGCTGCCAACGGCTCAAAACTTGGCTTGACCGCCAGACGTCCTCTCGCTCTCGTCGACCGGTTGTCCAAGAGGCACTATGCTGCGCCCGCTGAGGGTGTGGTAAGCAATTCCCCTGCACATGTGTCGTCCACGCTTTTTTGGCTTGGTTTCCATCTCCGGTGTGAAAGCCAGTTCCGACTGACATTCGCTTTTTTGGCGATTCTGTAGGATGCCAATGACTCTTTCCTCTCCGGAAACACCGCCAACTACATCGATGAGATGTACGTCGCATGGAAGAGAGATCCCTCCAGCGTGCACATCTCATGGCAAACGTATTTCAAGAACATGGAGGAGGGCAACATGCCTGTCTCCCAGGCTTTCCAGCCTCCTCCGACTCTCGTCCCTACCCCTACCGGTGGTGTTCCTCAGGAGATGCCCGGCGCAGGCCTGTCTTTCGCGGCTGGTACCGATGTCACGAATCACTTGAAGGTTCAGCTCCTGGTCCGCGCCTACCAGGCTCGTGGTCACCACAAGGCCAAGATCGATCCTCTTGGTATCCGCGGTGAGGCCGAGGCCTTCGGTTACAACAAGCCCAAGGAGCTCGAGCTGGACCACTACGGATTCACTGAGCGCGATCTGGACCAGGAGTTCAACCTTGGACCCGGTATCTTGCCCCGCTTCGCCACTGAGGGACGCAAGAAGATGACCCTGCGCGAGATCATTTCCACTTGCGAGAAGATCTACTGCGGCTCCTACGGTGTGGAGTACATCCACATCCCCGACCGTAAGCCCTGCGACTGGATTCGCGATCGCTTCGAGGTTCCCGAGCCCTACAAGTACTCTGTCGATGACAAGCGCCGTATCCTCGACCGCCTGATCTGGTCCCACAGCTTCGAGTCCTTCCTTGCGACCAAGTTCCCCAACGACAAGCGTTTCGGTCTGGAGGGTTGTGAGACCCTTGTGCCCGGTATGAAGGCCCTCATCGACCGCAGCGTCGACTACGGTATCAAGGACATCGTCATCGGTATGCCTCACCGTGGTCGTCTGAACGTCCTCTCCAACGTCGTCCGTAAGCCCAACGAGTCCATCTTCAGTGAATTCGCTGGTTCCGCCGAGCCCTCCGATGAGGGATCCGGTGATGTCAAGTACCACTTGGGTATGAACTTCGAGCGCCCTACCCCCTCGGGCAAGCGTGTCCAGCTTTCTCTGGTCGCCAACCCCTCTCACTTGGAGGCTGAGGACCCGGTCGTTCTCGGAAAGACTCGCTCCATCCAGCATTACAACAAGGATGAGCAGAACTTCGACTCCGCCATGGGTGTGCTGTTGCACGGTGATGCCGCTTTTGCCGCCCAGGGTATCGTCTACGAGACCATGGGTTTCCACTCTCTCCCCGCCTACTCTACCGGTGGTACCATCCACATCGTTGTGAACAACCAGATCGGTTTCACCACTGACCCCCGTTTCGCCCGCTCCACCCCTTACTGCTCGGACATTGCCAAGTCCATTGACGCTCCTGTCTTCCACGTGAACGCTGATGACGTTGAGGCGGTCAACTACGTCTGCCAGGTTGCTGCCGACTGGCGTGCCGAGTTCAAGCGTGACGTTGTCATCGACATCGTCTGCTACCGTAAGCAGGGTCACAACGAGACCGACCAGCCCTCTTTCACCCAGCCTCTGATGTACAAGCGCATTGCTCAGCAGAAGAGCCAGCTTGACAAGTACGTTAACAAGCTGATCGAGGAGGGTACCTTCACCAAGGAGGACATCGATGAGCACAAGAAGTGGGTCTGGGGCATGCTGAACGACAGCTTCGACCGCAGCAAGGACTACCAGCCCACCAGCAAGGAGTGGCTCACCTCCGCCTGGAACGGTTTCAAGACCCCCAAGGAGCTTGCCACTGAGGTTCTGCCTCACCTCCCCACTGGTGTTGAGGGTCCTCTGCTGAAGAACGTTGCTGAGAAGATCAGCGGTGGTGGTAGCCCCGATGGCTTCACCCTCCACAAGAACCTCAAGCGTATCTTAGCTAACCGCAAGAAGGCTGTCGATGAGGGTCAGGGCATTGACTGGGCTACTGCTGAGGCTCTTGCTTTCGGCTCCCTTGTGTCCGAGGGTTACCACGTTCGTGTCTCCGGTCAGGATGTCGAGCGTGGTACTTTCTCCCAGCGTCACGCTGTCCTGCACGACCAGGAGACTGAGGGCACCTACACCCCTCTCCAGAACATCTCTGAGAACCAGGGAAGCTTCGTTATCTCCAACTCCTCCCTCAGTGAATTCGGAGCGTAAGTTTCAGCTTCTGCCTTTCTCATGTGGATTAAAGCTAACTCTATTCTAGTCTTGGTTTCGAATACGGTTACTCCCTGACCTCCCCCAACGCCCTCGTCATGTGGGAGGCTCAGTTCGGTGACTTTGCCAACAACGCTCAGTGTATCATTGATCAGTTCATCGCTGCTGGAGAGTCCAAGTGGCTGCAGCGCTCTGGTCTGGTTGTTTCCCTGCCCCACGGTTACGATGGTCAGGGACCTGAGCACTCCTCCGGTAGAATGGAGCGTTGGTTGCAGCTTTGCAATGAGGAGCCCCGTGTCTTCCCCGAGGGTGACAAGCTCGACCGCCAGCACCAGGACTGCAACATGCAGATCGTCTGCATGACCAGCCCTGCCAACCTGTTCCACGTTCTGCGTCGCCAGATCCACCGCCAGTTCCGCAAGCGTATGTAACCTACAGAATTTCCCGTACAAGTCTAGTGCTAACTATCGTTCCAGCCCTCGTGATCTTCTTCTCCAAGTCTCTGCTTCGCCACCCTCTTGCTCGCTCTGACATTGAGGGCTTCACTGGTGACTCTCACTTCCAGTGGATCATTCCCGACCCCGCTCACGGCAAGGAGATCGACGAGCCTGAGAAGATTGAGCGTGTCATCCTGTGCTCTGGCCAGGTCTACGCTGCTCTTACCAAGCACCGTGAAGCCCACGGCATCCGCAACACTGCCATCACCCGTGTTGAGCAGCTGCACCCCTTCCCTTGGGCTCAGCTGAAGGAGAACCTGGACAGCTACCCCAACGCCCGCAACATCGTCTGGGCCCAGGAGGAGCCTCTGAACGCCGGTGCCTGGAGTTACACCCAGCCCCGTATCGAGACTCTGCTGAACGAGACTGAGCACCACAACCGCCGTCACGTTCTGTACGCCGGTCGCGCTCCCAGCGCTTCCGTCGCCACTGGTCTCAAGTCTGTCCATCTCAAGGAGGAGCAGGAGTTCCTCAACGATGCTTTCACTGTTCACCAGGAGCGCCTCAAGGGCGAGTAAATGATGTCGTTGTAAGAGTGAGTTTGGGTTGGGGAGTCAGCGTTGGCTCGTTCTGGTCTTCTTTGTATGATTTTCCTTTGTTCAGCAGCATAGTGTACGATGATTATACTACAGTTCATGCTTAAGTGTTTCCGGGCTTTGGGTCTCGTTTCTTTGCCACATTGTTTCGTGATCTAGCCTGCCGATACCTAGCATGTGCTTCGTGCACGCGTGTAAATTAAGAACGTTGATATAATTTCAGTTTCTTTGGTTGGCAATTGCACCGTAGGCTACAGTGTATACAGAATGAGGCCCTTTTCATCCGAGTCAAGTGATACCCAGCTCCATATAGCCAAAAGGTGTGGCAAAATCAACAATTACGGGGCAATGGCGCATCTGGGAGCGCGTCAGACTGAAGATCTGGAGGTGGCCGGTTCAAGCCCGGCTTGCCCCATCCTTTTTTTCTCAATTCATTTTTGTTGTGGGTTGTGGATCCCCCGGTATACACCAGTTGATAGCTCGATAGCTCGAGTTTGAGATTGAGATTTGTTTAATTGATATGTGACGTCACCGATAGCTTATCAACATGTCTTTGTCAGCCGAGATTTAGTGCCTGGCTCTGCAGGCACCAATCACCTGATGAATGATGGGCTCTGCCGGGTCTTTCTCCGCACTGCAAGTCTCCCATCGCTCCAACTCTCGTTTCCCACCCCCGATTTTTCCCTGTTTTGTCTGTCTGTCCATGTTCTTCCATCTGCTGAGCCATCGATCTCCCAGTATCTCTGAGTGCTTCTTGTTCCCTGATTGAGTCGGACTTGCTGTCCGACTTGTGTGCCTTTTTCCTTCTTTACCCATCATGTCTGCCGTTGCCGTCAACTCTCAGGGTCAGAGCGCTCGTCAGTCAACGCGCCAGACGAGAACGAACCCATCTCGCACATCCAAGACATTGGGCCGCTCATCCTTCGCTTATGGCCATGGCTCCATGGCAGATACCCAATCTGCGACCCCTGTGGCCCATGGCTTCTATCCTGCTCTCACCCATTTCACGGACGCCATTACGGCCCTCCCCAGGGAATTTCGTCGTCATAATTCGTTGCTCAAGGAGGTCGATGCGAAGGCTTGGGCTCTCGAGGATAATTTGCTCCAATTGCTGAGGTCCGCTTCAGAGTCGCAGCCTGTGCCGTACCCCTCTACTCCGGTAGGTAGTTTTGCTGGGCGCCCTGTTCGGGGGAGATCTCTTATCCTTGGTGTGGGTCATGTATTAGTCTGCGGGGATAAGCTATCTACGATGGATTTTGGGCGGATATGAGCAAGTGCTGACGAGTTATCGTGACTAGATCCCCGAATCTCAGGAAAGCAAAGACCGCCGGATCCTGTTCCATCGTGTGCGCCATACGCTTACGGATCTGATGATGACCGCGGATGAGAAAAACCACGTTATATCGAATGCGAACGACGAATTGGACCGACAGCTCACACGGCTTGATTCTATCTTCCCATTCATCGCGGGGGAGATCAGCGATGAGGCTCGTCTGGGAAGTCTCACGCACTGGGCTTACACAAATAGAAATGCCCCTAAGACAACTACTAATGAGCGTCCTCGTCGGGAGGCCGCGTCTACTAAGGAATTGGCGCATGCGATCCATGAGGCGGAGGCTGCTTCTCGGAGCGAAGCTAGGCGCGAAGCTGTCATCGCGCGCAGGCAGCGTCGCACGCATGCGGATTCGGATCTGGATGATGTACGTGCTGGTGGAGCTCGCAAGGGACAATCTAGTAAATCTCGCGGGGGTGCGGGCGCTGGTGATCAGGCCGGACATGGTCAGGGAAACACTGGGTCGGGCCAGGCTAAGCGGCGCAAGGTCGAGCGGCCCGCGCCTGTGGAGGCTGGTGCTGCGATGGAGCGTACTGCTAGCAGCGCTAGTACTTCAAGGCAGGCTGCTTCGAAGGATCCCGCTGAAGCTACGAAGAAGAGGCGGGCACCTAATGCGAATGCGGCTGCTCGGAAGAGGTATGTCGCTTTTGCTTGCTTTGGGTATACATGAACTAACGTGAGTGGCAGAAACAACACCAATGCATCGGCAGTCGATTCCCCAGTTCTGGCTCCGTCACCTGTTGTCGCTGCTGCGGCTATCCCGCGAAGCGCTGTCAGTCCGGGACCTGGTGCAGTGCGGCCGCAGACGTCTCGCGCACAGCAGAATTCCGGACAAGCAAACAATGGTCGTCAGAGACCGTCATCTTCTGCGTCCAATCGCGTTACCAGCAATGGTACGTTTCAACCATATTCCACCTCATTCTGATCGCAAATCTAACCGAATAACTACTCTAGGCAAAGCTGCAGAACCTAAAACCACAATTAAAGAGACGACATCCAAAACCGAAGCTACCCCTACCTCGAATCCAGATACCCAACGAGAAACCGAAGAGCCCACCACAGACGCATCTAAGGTCCCACCTCCTATCAGCACTAAACGCGAAGACACCGATGGAAAGCCCGCGCCGTCCATCGAACCGGGCGAAGTCCCCGCACCGCCAGTCTCGAATCCACCTCCCAAGGGCCGATCATCGAAGACATCCACCCCGGTGCTACCCACCTTCTCCGAACCCACTCAGCGCGTACGACCTACCCGAAGCACGGATCCCGCACCAGCCAAACGCTCCCACAAGAAGAACAGCAGCGTGCCGGTGGTGCAAGCGCGGGCCGTATCGGAAGAGGAAGAGTCTCTCCACGAGGGAGATGACGAAGACGAGGACGGTGAGCCCAGATACTGCTACTGCAATGAGATCAGTTTCGGCGAGATGGTGGCATGTGATAATGACGCCTGCCCTCGCGAGTGGTTCCACTTGTCGTGTGTTGGGTTGACGAAGCCGCCTGGGAAGAATGGTGAGTATCCCTTTTTATTTATATGGATGTGGGGGGTGCAGATTGCTAACGTGAAAATAGTCAAATGGTACTGTAATGAGTGTAAAGAGAGTATGCGACGGAGTCGAAGTGGTCGTTGAACAAGCAGAGCAGGAGGAAGCAAAACAAAATAGGATACTGGAGTTATGGGTTGGGAATGGCTTTTGGCTCTTATGAATGTACATACATAGTAGACAATAAGATGATTATCTGGCTTTTGTCAAGTATGGTTATAGGTAATGGCGAGTAAAGACACATCTATTTATATAAATAAACACTGCATGGAGGCTTCTCGGCTAGTCAAAGAGTTGGATCATGGATGGTATACTTAGTGGGTTAAAATCTGGAGACAACATCATCACCTTTACCCCGCCAGCCTAGACCAGCTCCTCAATAGCCCGCCAATTCCACTCCATCATCGTCCTTCCTCTTAACCTCAACCCTCAATTGATTAACATCCCCACCAGCTGACACAATGTCCAACGAGAAAATCGAGCTCCCTCCCATTGCCGAGATCGAAGCATCAACCGATATTCTCAGCGACCCCTGCAAATCCATCAAAGTCGTCCGAGTAAAAGAGCGCTTCGCAGTTAAATAATATATCCCCGGTACCGATTTGCAGAATTTAGCGCCATCTCTTTCTGAAAACCAGAAGAAGAAAGTCAGCGGGCGTATCAAGGAGGCACTTGATGAACTGCGACGTATTCCTTCCCAGGGATATCTTGGGAACTTGGACCGAACACCTTACTACGAGGGCATTCTCTCTACTCCCCTTGATCGTGACCCGAGCATATCTGGTCCCTTTGACAACGAGGAACAATTCAACCAGGGTATCTTGAAATGTCTAGGACAGAGGGAGTCGCCGCATTATGTCCGCTTGCTTGATGGAGCGATACAACGTACACTCAAAGGACACAGGATTGTCTTCACCCATGCGGATCTTCAGCCGAAGAACGTCATGGTTGAGGAACAGAAAGGAGTGTGTGGAGAAGATGGAAGTCCGGATTATCAGATAACGATTATTGATTGGGACTTGGCTGGCTGGTACCCTAAATACTGGGACTATTGTAATTCGACGGTCTACTGCCAGGCGAAACCGGAGTGGCTTGAGTTAGTCCCGGATGTCTTTGATGAGTATCCGGTGGAATATCTTATGATGCGAATTTTCTACATGTCGATGTTTTACTGAGGATTTCTGCAATACACTTCAGCAAAGGATGTGATAGCCCAGATTATTTCCTACATTCTTAGTGGATACTCGTATACATAAAAGCAATATAACAAGAGCCAAACGCACGTGTAACTTGATGACAGCACGAAAGATCTGGCCCGATTCATTGATTTATACTGATCTGACATTAGCCGATGATATGCATATCAGTATTTCATGACATTTCTCACCTTCTTCAGAGCCTAACGATACCCTTCTCAAAAGCCAGTCTCTGGACAACATCCCGGAGCCAATCTCTACAACGATAAATTATTCTAGTGAAGAGATTAGAAGTAATTGAGTCAATAACTCCAGAGCTGAATGCAACCAGATGAATAGTACCGATTAGGGTGACCAAAACAATAACTGGAAATAGATGGTCTCAGTCTTTTATACTACGTAGTAGATAAGTGGTAGTAATCCGCGCCTACCTGACCTCGTAACTACTACTACCAGTACACCAGCCCATTAGTACAACTCCGCCCATGGACTTGCCTGGGGCCGTATAGTTAAACAAACATCATCCAGAGCGGAGAGAGCATAGTAGTACACAGCATGAAACTAAATGCAGTAACAGCCACTCAGACAGGAGACCAGTAATATCCGCCCTGGGTGTATAAACCGATACTGCCCATTTTAACCGCTCTATTGACCGCCAAAAGCGGCAGAACCTAGCGAACCTCGCAAAGAGAAGTGCGGATATAAACGGATATAAGCGGATATATTTTTATACAGCCCCGAAAAAGTCTGTCAGCATTCTGTGTACTTTTTGACCGCCTTGTTTGAGGCGGCAGAATCTGAGGCCTGTCACTATAGTGTACTATAGAATGGATAATTGCTGATGGAGATCGATATAAAATGTCTTGAGTGTATGAGTTACTTGAGGGTGCTTGGGATGTAGCCATTATAACTGCCTTGTCTTATTTCTGACTTCTATTATGTATATTACTAGAGAATTGAAGTTGTTGTCGGCGCGCTTCAATCTTGCGATGTCTTACACAGTTTCATCTCACTTCATGTTACTACCACCGCTTGGAGCAGACAGTTTCCCAACAAATCTCGCACTTCCCTTCCAGTGAAGCTGCAACACAGACAGCTTCGTCAAATCCAAGTCATCAGGATTCAGCAATTGAATCGTCCATTGAGTAAACGGAGTCGGCTCGGCGTGTTCGGTCGTCGGAGATATCGCGTGCACCAGCGTACTATATCACCTGACTCGTCGATCTCATAGATAAGTCGCACCTGTCTTGGTAGACTGCTGAAGTGGAATATCTTGCCATCTTGAATGTCTGCATATACTCCCGAAGTTGAAACATCGATGTTCACCTGTGCGACTCCATCACTGATGGCTTCGGCTTGGGGAATAACACCCTGCAGGAATGTCTCGAGGCCTTCCAAACGGATGTGTGATCCGTTATTTGAATAAGCTGGTAAAGCTGCTCTCTTTACTGGTATCGGTTGTTGGCGCAGGTGTAGATTTGGCGGGTTGTTGCCCATGGGCCTGTTATTTCAATGCATTGATTGGGCGGCCAATGTTCAGAATTGTTGCTACCTCACGGGATGGTTATTTATATTGGGACGCTGAGTAGTAGTATGCAGTTCTGGACTAGGACGATCATGATATTAGTAAATATACACTGTAAATCCATGGCTTATATAAGTCTGTGCCTTGAGCATACTGCCTCTTCTCCTCGTTATGTGTATCTGGTATCCAGTCATGTAGAGGATCGATGTCTTGGTAAGTAAGTTATAGACTAGTATGACCTCAATCACTGGTTAGATATATTCGTGGCTACTACATCTTGACAGCCTACGCCTGGGCTTGGATCAATGCCTTAGCATCAATAGGACTTGGTCAGGATTATTAGTATATGTACTACAACTTATAAGCTTAATTATTATTCCAGAATAATTAACACAAACAAGATTATGTTATGTAAGTACCCTGTAGTTGTTTATTGTCAAGTGGGGCGCGCATAGTATTTTTCTACTATCCGCAACCTACTTGCCGCACAGAAAAGACCGCAACTCTTCATTTACCAAACCCGAGAGGCATTCCTCAACAAGTCGTCTCGATGGTGTAGTTGGTTATCACGTGGGTCTCATACTACAGTATGACGTGGAAGCTTCAACTTCCATGCGATCCCAAGGCCGGGAGTTCGAACCTCCCTCGGGACAGATCTTTTTTATATCATTTTTTCTTCACTTTTCGGGGGTCGTGTACACTCGCGGTGGGTTGAGAGTAATGTTTGGCTTCTTTTTTTATTTTATATTTTTTTTTATCTACCTACCATCTTTATAGGGGTGGGGTCCTTTAGTCTTCTGTCTTGCTGTTCTGCGCCACTGAATAGGTCTTGGATGATTGAAGACGATACTACAAGCAGTCAATTGGTGAAGCTCAGTTCGTCTATATATTATTTTCCATCCAAAATAGTTGGTATATCTACATGCAGATCTAACGGTATCTGACAAGCACCAAAGACTAATACTAAGAATAAGCCCGGTTCTCTTCTATAGGTCCCATTTCCCCATGGTTCTGATCCGAATCCAAGTTTGTACCCACACCCTCCGAACCTGCTTCCTCCTGAGATAGCGGTCCTCCCTTCTCGAACCTCCCATCATGATCCTGAGTCACAATTTCCAATTTGTTGTCGCGTTGCATCACTCGTATATTGTGCTTGTATACATCAATCGTCGAGATACCGGCTCCCGTATGAGCCATCTTTTCTGTCGGAGCAGAGTTCCATGCAAGCGCCGCGATCTCTGGCGCAGAGCCCCAACTGCTCGAGGAGAGCCCGCTGTAGATAGAATAGCAGACGTGGGCAATAGCCACGGCGATATAGATGGCGAGTACGATCATTTCGAGTATGGACGTGATCCCGTCTGCGCTGTATGCGTAGCCGTTCACATAAGCTTCCATTACCAGTTGAGTGGATCGGTTGCGCACCGCCGCAGACACATTGAATGCATTGCGCCCTGTGCCCATGTTCCCACCTTCAGGAAGGATGTCGTAGATCCAGTCACCGCCATCCCAAAGATTATTTGGATTGTTAGCGCCTTTCAAGTCCATGATAATACTATGGTTGTACGCTGACCGGCCGATGCCGTTGGTGATAAGGGTAGCTAGGATATTCTCCACTATGATGTCGTAGTAGTAGGGGGCTGACGGAGTTGAACTATTGAAGATGCCAGCCATTGAGGTGATAGGCGATAGGATCGTTTTGTTTGTACCGGGAATGTCTGGCGTCAGGTACCGTGCCCAGTCCGCGGTAAGTTCAACTCGTGGCCAATCAGAATGAAATGTCCCGTTTTTGTCCATTTCTGCAGGCTGACCAGTGACAATCTTGATGTGGTTTCGCGTGGACACTAGGGTGACGTTGGTGAACCTGCTGTCGACGCTGCAAGTGAAGTATTGTGGATTAGTGCTGTCTGTGGTGGGAAGTATGAATATAGCAGCAAGTGTGGCATCGATAGGTTGCAGCAGAAGAGGATCATCGACCCAGAGCACGGAAGGGGAAGCACCTTGTCGGAGGAGTGATTCCACCTTATTTTCGATTGTCTTGTTGGAAAATCCATTGTATAAGTCGATCGAGGCCTGACTCAAGTCGGCCGTGCCCGGGCCTGAGGAGAGAGACGCAGTGCCCAATGCAGGAAAGGACAGAGTGATATTGCCGGAGTAGTCGTAGAACGTTTGACCACAGAACGTGAGTACCATCGGCTGCAAGGCGTCGGTCATGAAGAGCGCATCATTCCTGAACTTGAATCGGCCGACATCGATGTTGGCGGCAGCGTACGACCATAGCCTGCCTAGTTCTGCAACACTATCCGCGACGACAGAGAGTGGGGTAGTTGCAATGGTGTATGCATTCCCCCACATCATCTCATGAGTACCGAACAGATTGCGAGACCTCATTCCAAAGCTGCGAATGGAGGCTTGGCCGGAGATGGTAAGATTCTGGGGAACACTGCCCGCGTTGACGAGCTTCGGAAAGAACGAGTAATAGTCCTGGTTGAGGATCTGCCAATTACCGGCCGGGCAGGCGAGGTCACTGTTATCAAAAGCACAGTGCGATAGTGCTGACGAGTTTTCCAGTTTACTAGGAAAGAGTACGCTATCGGTGGCGTTGATCCAGAATGGTGTGCCACCTGCGGGCCAGTCATCCAGACGTGGCTTCATCAAATTACTTGTGGACGGACCAGCTGTTAGTCCCAGCAGGGTGCATGTAACCATCAGGCAGAGGATGAACCATTTAGTGGTTTTTCGTTGCCAGTCATGATTGACTGAACCCCACATGCTGAGAGACCAAAGGAAACTGATATCTTGAAATTGCAAAGAGGTGAAAATGGCACCAAACGGGAGGCCGTCCCCAAAGGCAAGTTCTCTGCGGATATAAGTAATCAGTATGGATCCAAGCGAAGCTAGCATGAGAAGTTCATGAAGCTTAGCTGCGAATGTCAGCGCAGCCAGCTTCTCAGCATCCTGTCCAGAAGTGCCAGATAATTCGCCCCCAATATAGTAACCAGTGGAGTTAAGCATGATGAGTGCAAATGCAGCACTGACAGGAACTACATGCAGGACACAGCGGATGGATGCAAGTGTCTTGCTCCTGTCCATGAAGACCTTCGGCTTTTCTGTTACCTCAATACCGCGCAGCTTGCAGCAGGTATTGTAGAAAGATGTGATGCCGATATTCTTCAGCAATGCCAGAAAATGGTCGCCGAGCCCGCGACTGTTGGATTCTGATTGGAGTCGTTGCCAACGCAATCGATCTCTTGCTTGGGCCATCTGGGCCACCAGTGTATCTCGAAGCGAGTACACCATGCACAGAGCCTTGTCCGAAATTGGGCGCCGACCATACTGCGCGCGCTGATTTGCTTGTATAGATTGGACGCTATCGGAGGCGTCGCTATTGGAGCGCGAGATGCCATCGTGCAAATCGGAGTCACTGCTCGACGCGTTGTAGGAATTCAGCAATAGCCAGGGTCCGTCGAGTCCCAGTCTAGACTTACGCAGTGGTCGGCCGATACGGCTCGGCATACATGTCTTCTAAGCTCACTGCTTCGCCATCCAATTGGGACTGCCATGACAGATTGGATGAGGAATAAGTGTTATGAACGAGGCGAAGTCCATTTTGAAAAGAAGGCCGAGTGCCATTCTCGGAGGTCATTTCTGGAAATCCGTGTGGTATGACTGTCTTGAATATGATTTCCAGGGGGAGGTGGTTGGCCTCAGCCCAGATAAGGCCATGTATAGTTTGTGAACTAAGAAGATGGGACGCAAGGCTTAAGCCGCAGACGTCTTATAAATAAACCGCGTCCAAGCCCGCGGAACAGCGTCAATCCCATATCTGAGCTTCAAGGACTGGAGTAATGTGATCTACTAAATTGATAGCACATAGCCTAGCAGGGGACCTAATTGCTGATTGGCCTCTGCTCGCTGTACCGCTCGGATAATTCTAGCGCTTGGAGGATGGAACGGCGAGCTGAAGCAGTCTACCCAGCCCCTGAACCCTTAGCCGACAAGACCGGCCAACAAATAGTGCCCACGTCAAATTAGGCCGGTAGACAATAAAGCTACGCGCAAGCCCACCAGAGCCTTTCTCCCTGCACTCGGTCAAAGGGAGGGGGCCGCAACGATCAGACAAGGCTAAAGATACTAGACAGGAGCCAGTGCCTTTAGCGCCGCGGCCCACCAAAAGCATATCATTGGTCTCGACCACGAGACGGTCTGCGGGGTCATTGCGAACCAAGGATCAAAAGGCGCTTAATGAGGTAGTGCGTTAGAGCTCGCCAGCTATTAGATACTGACTGGTGGCAGTACAGAAGCGAGGGAGAGAGAAAGCTGTGGGGCGTAATACATGGTGTACTGGGTACCGTCGTAGGCTGTATTTGACTCTTTTCCGACTTGCCCGGGCAATCCCAGCCTTTCTATCAGCAATTCGTGCCTACTTCTTGGCATCGACCTTCCAACCTCATGAGGTTGGAAACAGGACACATAGGCGGTCGTGTGTTGAAGTTGGTTTTTAGAATAAATCTCTACTGACTTCGGAAGTTGAAGCGCCCAATTGTAGGAACACCCACGAAGTTGGCCTCAGACGTGTGCCCAACCATTAGAGACAAGCACCTGCATCTCATTGATCAAACAGAAGTCACCAGGTTCTTGCTCATCAGGATGGTCATCATGCCATCCAGCAATCCTCTTGCGGACAACCAGCTTTTTGAAAAATGGGGTTGTAAACCAGCGTCGGAGTCGGTTCTCCCAAAGAGCTAATGCCACATGTTGCAGCGATAACCAGGCCCCTGTAGGGTGAACAGCTTCATAGGCGGCAGGGTTATAGCCGACACGAACCTTAGGGTTCAAGTAAACCCCGTCTTGCTTGGAGAGAGGGTTGTCCGCATGAATCAAACAGCACTCAGAACCCTCGAGATGTGAAAGCGCCAGGGTATCGGAGATAGCGCGAAACCGTAGCGGAGGAGTGGAAACAAAAGGCTCTATAGGCATAGCAACTGCGATATATGATCGATCAATATGGGCATCGAGAAGAGCGTGTAGGGGAGTCACCAACCCATTCCGTTCCAGCAACTCTTGACAGGCACAGGAGACAGGGCAAGCAGTGCATTGCGTGATGCTGCAGACCGGAAGTATGGCCACTTCTGCATTACATGCTCGTCGCCGTTCGAATCGCGCAAGGCAAATGTGTCATAATAGAGCGGCGGTTTAGAAAAGTCCAGCGAGCAAGCGGCAGCGTAGACACCGTCATTTGTATCGAGTAACCGGATAACATCATCCACCTGTAATCTGGAAGTTAGCGACGTGCAAAGTCTGATCTACATACGAGACATACAGTGAAGACCACATCATTCAGGAACAGCACTTTGTCAAATGTGATGCCTTGCTGCGACAGGTCTTCCAGTGGTTGCAAGGTCAGATTGCGTAGCCGTGCAAGATAAGGAATGCGTCTGAGTTCCTTCTTTTGGCGAGGTGTATCGATCCAGCCTTCTCGAGGACGAGCGGATAGCTCATCCTGATGTGTCGTGTCTGATAGGGTGATGTTGCGCCGCACGCCAAGTTGGTCCAACCCAGCGTCAAGGTCGCGGAGAGCCCCCTTGGAATCATCCCAACTCCCACTCTCGTAGACGCTCACAAAAACATTATCTGGTCCAAAAGTTTTTGCTAGATTTATCACCGCATCATTCCAATGGCTTCGCAGGATTGGTTCGTTGTTCCAGTGCATGCTCGCGATGAACAGCCGCTCGGGTCGAGGTGACAGGTGGTCCTTGGCCACATCCACAGTAGAAGCCTGATGATGGATATAAAGGGTTTCCAGTATCGTCCAGGTCACCATACAAAGTAACAGACCCTGGAGGAAGCGCCGGCGCAGGCTAAACCGGCGGGACAACCCATACCGAAGGAATGAGCTAGCATAGCTGGTAGTTGGAACCATTGAAGGAAGATTCAACGATCATGTCCTATTCATATATGATAATATGAATGCAACCGAGGAAGGTAGGTGGATCCGCATGGATGTCAGTGTATCGTAGAGCTGGCACCGAAGGGCAATCAATAGGAGACGATAATCAGCGACTGATGGAGAGAGTTCAGCTGGCCGGATTCTGCCAGTACCTACCGCCACAACACGCGATAACAGTGGACTCACGTGCGGTCTAGATGCCAATTATATAGTATATCACAGGCCTCGGCGGTCAAAGCGCCGCGTGTTATGCCGGAGAACAACTTGGCTTTTTGACGAGTCTGGAAACACCTCCTGGAATACATAAAGACTGGTGTCATAGCCAATGAAGCGAGGTTGCAAAGGATACCTGCATATTATTATATTAAAACAACATCTCATATAATACACTCTAGGTTGGTATTAACTTCGCTCAAACTCACTGAAAGCTCCTATACAATTAGTATAACCCATAAGCTTTGAACAATTGAAGTTATCGAACACTCCTATATCGTAATAACTACATGGAATAAACCCTCTAATCTATATCCCCCCACTCCTCCTCAACCTCTGTCCCGCAGCATCCCCCGTCGCACCCGTAGCCGACGAACTCGCCGACGCCGCAATAGCCTCTCCCTCCAACCTCCTCCTCAGATCCTCATATCTCCCACCATCTGCCCCTCCAGCTCCATTTACAACCCTCCGCTCTTTCTCCCCCACCATCCACGCCGGGACCCTCCACGCGCCAGTCCCAGGCAGAAACTCCATCCGCCAGGCCACACCAACCAGCCATCCCACCGCAGCGGGGACGACCATCGCCGGGAACTGCGACAACGCCAGTTGCGCAGCGACAATATACGTTGTAGATTTATCAGACAGTGTAAGAGTAAGGGACTTGCTGCTCTGTTGCGGTTGGTCTTTCGTCTCGTTCGAATCAGAAGCAGATGACGTGGAGATCCGGTAGCGGAAGGTAGATGGGATTGAGGCGTGGTATTGCGCTAATAAGGCGAAGATGGTCGCTACGGGTCCGGAGGGAAGGTAGTTCATTTTCCCGAGGGTGATGGGTCGGAGGACGAGGATGAGGAGGAGAGGAGGGAGGAGGGTTGTGTAAGGGAGTGTGGTGAGGAGGAAGGTCTATTAAGCCATTATTGCTTGTTAGTACTGCATCGATAGTATAGCTTGCAGATGTAGAATGGTATAAGAAAAAGTAAGGTAGAATAGAGTGACGTACGGCAAACTTCCTTTTTCCCCAAGCGCGCTCGACAACTCGTAGATGATACACTAGCATTGCGGCGAACAGCGCCTCCGTCGAGTTCGCGAATCCGGCTACCTGCCACACCAGAATGCGCCAAAACTGTCCATATTGCCAGATGTGTGGCGCGACTTGGATATTAGTGAGGTGTTTAAGGTCGAAAATGGCGAGAGCCACTGAGGAGGCGATGGTGTAGATGAGGAGGGATTTGGAGATCGAGGCGTTGGTGAGTCCGGAGGTTAACATCTTCGAGATGTTATGGTGAATTTATTAGATTTATTTAAAATATGGAACTGGAGGTAATTTCTCCTGAATATTAAACAATAACTAGAGCATGAAGGCGATGTCTTATTAGTGGAGCGTCCGGGTGGTCGCGATGCTGGTCTGACAAGCTGGAAGGAAGGTGGAGGAAGTGAGGGACACGTCGCGTGAAGGGCGGGCCGAGGCGGAGGGGCGGAGAGCGGAGGGCTCGGCATGCCGATCGAAGTACTTAAGAGTCCTAATTGGCTTTACAATGAATCGTTAATAGTCATTCATGTCTATTCTATCATACATTATCGCCATATCACGCAGATGGCATTTCCTTCATTTCTTCAGCCAGCGCCTGGTTGTACTTTGCCAACGCCGTTTCCAACGCCCGAATGGTCGGCCCCAGTAGTCGATTGACAGCCTGTTCACCTCCAGCCACACCAGCGAGATTGAGCTTGAGCTTCCTTCCTGTCCTTTCCAGCACTTCCCGGGCATGCTGCTTCAGTCGATCAACCTCAACTTGCCGCTCTGCCTCTGCGTCTTGCGCCACTGATTTTATGCGCTCCATGGCTCTGTTTAGGGACTCCACGAGCGAAGCTACCTCACCCGCGCGATCCGGATTCCCGGATAGGAATGCCTGCCAAAATTGATGCAAGAATTCAGTCGTCGTGGCATGCGTCAGTGTCAACCGGTCGTACAACGCAGTCGACAAACCGTACGTGCCGGCATTGCCTGATCCCTCTGTTTGGGATCGGCGGTCACGGATCGCTTCGAGAATTTGGTTTGAGGCGCGCTTCAAATTCACCCTAGAACCAATCACGTCTTCGAACTTTTGTTGATCCTCGTCGTCATCCTCCTGCGGTTCTACCAGTCTCCCCAGCGGCGCGGCTCCGCCCTCTGGCAAATTTTCTTCTAGATCACGCCGTAGCTTTCCGAGTATCTGATTCGGATCCTGCTGGGCAAACAGCTTGTTTTGCTCATCCTCCGCAGATTTCGAATGCGACGAGAAAAAGCGACTCTGGTCCTTGACGTTGAGGAGAATACGTTGCTGTTCCTCGTCCCCGCGTAAATCGCGCAGCTGCAGCTCGTTGTATGTCCCATCCTCACCCGTCTTGCCATCCGCCTCGCCATCGGCTGGTGCAACGTTCGCCATAATCTTCTCACTCAGACTGTTCAGTGTGCGGATAATGGGCACCTTTTCCACGGAGGACGGGCGCATGTCGAGATCGGGTCGGTTGCCTTGCCGTTGACTGTTGTTCACTTCATTTCCAGCCAAATCTAGGAAATGCGGAACATGCGCATCACGCGGTAAATTCCCCGACTCATCCGCCTTGAGGTATTTATCCAGGATTATGTCCGTGGGATCCGTTTCAGAGATGCGCTCACCGCGCAATTTCTTGAACAACCGACTTTGGAAAAACCGAGACCAGAATTGCTGCTCACTAAGCTTGGGTACATTCTCGTCGTATACCCGCTTCACAAGCGGGTGCTGATTGAAAATCAACTGAATCTGCTCCTTGCTAATATTCAGCTTGGTCACGCTATCCTCCACCCGCGGCTTCAATGTCGACAGCACATTGTACGATCCGCGTGTCTGCGACCGTTCGATCGCATGTGCGCGCAAAAGATGAAGTCGAGTAGACCAGAACTGCGTCATGAATTGTGAAGCAGACAGCGTATCCGGCTTGGTGTGTAATGACTCCATGAACATGCGCTGCAGAGTCGAATTCGACTTCAGCAGCGACTGCTGCAGCTCCACATCTCCTTGAAGCCGTTTGTCATCATCCCACGGGCTCTTCTCTTTCCCTGCCGATGATACCGCATTCGCTATGGCCATAGCAGGAGACACGCCTTCTTTAACGGGGGCACTTTGAGCTGTCTTCGCGGCTTGAATAGCGGCACTGAGCGCATCTCTGATGGCATCAGCTTCCGGTCGCGCGTTCGCTCCAGCTGTGAAGGAAAAGACATATTGTTCGGGGGAGCTGGCGGGGGCATTCGGAGGGAGGACAAAGATCTTCAGCATCACTTTCGGGTTACTCGCGGGGGTCTGTTGCAAATCTATACCGTAGTCAGTATAATCGCGCCCGGTGAATCAAGCTAAACACCACGACGTACTGGTGATCTGAGCAACAGGAAGAGTAATTGCACCAGCTGCACCGCCAGCCGCCGGGATCCAAGAGATCGACTGGCGGTCCTGGGCTATGGTCAGGGTGCCATCTTTCTTCTTGTATGCTGCCGACCCGCTCGGAGGTGCCATCGTCATGGATCTCGACAGCGTCCACTGTCCTGGGCGGCGTCTAGGGATCCACCCATCGGGAGATTAAAATCCCACGGGAGAATCAGAAGGACAGGGCCTTCAAAGACGCGAGAGGTTTGAGTGGATGGGTTAAGATGCGAGTTTGTGAAAAGTACGAAGTTCCGCAATCAGTCAAGATGGAGGCACGTGATAGATATACTGAGACATGTGACTTGCTTGCTTAGTCAGGATGGCAGCCCTAACAAGCCAACCTTGAAGTACAGTTTTGCAGTCATAGACAGAATGTAAGTGAGGAGTATGTCAGGCTAGATAGTTTTAGCCGACAATTTCTTTGTTAGATTTAGTGATTTTCGAGAGCATAGCATGCATAGTACGGATGCCAAGGGTGCAATGGAATATCCATTGGGGTTTCTTCGACAAGAAGTTTTACTATGTCATCTTCGGGACTAGAACGAGTTCAGTAGCGACTCCATTTGTAAGTACTGCATGATGGTTAGAAATAAAAAGGTATATGTTTGGGCTTTTTCGTTAGATTGGGGGAGTGCGACCGACTTGTCCTTCAACTTCTATCCTTATTCTTGTCACCAGAAACTATCCATAGCCATGTTCGATCAATTTTAGTGGAATATACCGGTCATTGAAGCGAGAATCAATACTTCATGAAAGGCTGAATGTTATTGGAAGATGGACCAACGGCATATCTCGGACAACAAGGGCATTTGCATACTAGACGTCGACGGAATTTTCCTTGAGACACCCATAAGAACGGTAACTAGAGCAAGAATTGAACAAAGAGTTGATTCTATAATTTAAGTTCAGACGGTAAAATGCTGTGTAACTTTCCACTTCCCTGAAGTAATGCGGTCAGGGCGTCCTTATATCCGCTGCTCTGGCATTAATGGAGGTGGGAAACACTTGAAAACGACAAATTCGCTTATCCAAAGGCGCAATACATCGAGCTGATGCCACCTGATGTTCATGGTCAAAGAGTGCTAAGACTTTACCAGGAGAATCAAAAGATTGAATTAGGGAAATCCCATCTATAACTATAACTCGCGTCTAGAGCACTCTAATATAAAGAGAACGCCCCACTTAGTCTCAGAAGTCGGTTTCCAACCAAGTCTATACTACATGTCGACACCAAAGCCCTACGATATGGGGAGTTCACAGTCCGAAGAGTCTGGGGCGAAAGCTCCCACTCATATCGACTATAAACTAGAGAACATTATTGCGGGGGCGCTAGATGATGGTGGAGTGCCCAACGTGTTCTGCGGTCACGGGCTAATGAGCGTCTATGGACTTGTGCAGGAGCAAAAGGTAAGATGACGATTTTTCATTCCAGCCCAAATACAGTAAAGTCAAGACTAACTACTTCCAGAGTTCCACCTGGGTAATCCCCAACTTCTACATCGCAGAAGCAGACTCCCTTCTCCAAGAGGCCGGTTTCCACAGTTGCCATAGGTCTTACTGCGAGGGATACCGGCCCAACAAGAGGCCTTTTGCACCGGCATATCACTACCATGTCCAACCGCGGGTGAACAGACCGTACAATCACGTCGTGCTCTTATATAAGATGAACGACCTGTTTATTGACCTGGCCCCGGTTCCCACGCGACTACCACCATTGGATGATCCGGACTATATGCTAGTCGATGATCCTCGGCTACCAGACTACAATGATGAAGCTGGAAATGGTCGTTGGAAGTCTATTCGTTCGATCAAAATTCCAAAGCCAGCCCGGTTCATTGACGCTGTGGTCCTTCTTATGGTGAGAGAGTGGCCTCAGGACCCTACGTCTTCTATCTGGTATGGATACTTGAGTGAGCTGCTGGATCATATCAATGAAAACGGGGACTATGAGCTTGTTCCGAGTTGGGATGTGTTGGGAGATTCAGCGCGTGGCTTTGTGAAGTTTTATTTCGACGGGGAGACGAAGAAGAGTCCGTGTGAGGTGAAGAATTATATATCTAGATTACGGGATGACATGATCGAGAAGACGAAGCTATCTTTACTTCTCATGGCAGATGTAGATGAATGATAACCATGAGGGGTTCTTTTATAATAATGTGGACCAATTTCTTTTCTTTGAGATGTTTGTATGTTATAGAGTTCCATTGTGAAGGGAGTTGGGGTGTTCGGGCCTTATGGCTGTATGGGCATACATCTTCGTCTGAGACACCCTACCCGGTATATTGCATAATGTGGACAAGTCATTTGAAAATTTCTGATTGTAGTAGAGTTAATAATTATCAGATGTGTCATATATCCGTTGATCTAAGTTCTACTTGACTGGAGCCTGCAGTCAATTATATAACCTCACCTGTGTAAATCCATATCCGAGAGTATACGATCGGTGATAGCCATGTGTTCATAGTTGCATTATACGAGTGTACAAGGTCAAAGGTCAACAATGAACCCGCTAATATCCGTCACAAAGAAGTTTCCCAGTAATTGCTTGGGAACACTTTGCATTGTCTCAAAGTTAATACTCCTATGTCCAAGTTTTCAGGATGTCTTAAAGATACCAAATGCAATACTTGTGCTAATAGGGTGCAGCCGGTGCCTAGCAAGCGAATTATAGCTCTACTACGCCACAACTGACCACCCTAACGTTTCTTTGTCACGCCGTTGACTATAAAGTAACCCCAGAATTCTTGTCCTATCTGTTTCCTATCTACATAGATCTGTCAAACAACTACAGGATGGAAAACTCATTAAGAAAGATGCGTCTCGATAACTTAACAATCGACGAAATCGATAAGGCGTATCCGGATATACTGTATCCAAGCAGAACAGAGCTCTTCGGCGCTGCATCATGTTTGCTCGGAGGTATACGGATACTGAAAAAGCAAGGTCACTTGGGTACAACATTCGTGGGAATAACAGGAGGGCTTGCTGTCATGCGTTATTGTCCCGATCGTTTGCCCAGCATTGTAAGTGGATCTAATTACAAAACCACTTACGAAGGAAGCATTCTATTGACTAACTAAATGAGTAGGCTCCTGCTAGGAATGAAGATATTGACGTCGTCCTGGACTTAGGAGATTCGACCCTGGAAGACCTCATGAATGCACTGCACTGGCATGACTCGCAGCACTTCATCAAACACCGTGAAACGCTTTATATGTGGACACACAGAGGCAAACTGAGGATCGACTTCAAGGTGATCCCGTCGGACGTAAGTGCATATTAACGATCTCATAAGTCTTACTACCTGCGTCATTGTTTATGACATGATCATAATCTAACTATGCCATTAGAGAAAATTACCAGGAATGCAGAGTCTGTACGATCTTCATCCGCCATATCTACCGTTCGTTAACAAGATAGATCTCATGACGTCTAAAATGTACGACACCCACCCTGATTCTCTACCCTCCTCATCTTGGAGAGAGCTTGATACCGCAAGAGGTATTCACCATGGGACAGATGCGCTTCGACTGGCTCTGCTATTCGATCCGGGAAAAAGGATCACAGTCACCGCGAGGCAAGCTTTGCGGGTAGTGAGGGCCTCCCTAGGTATAGAGTATTATACCGGCATTTCAGGTTTTGAGTGGCTTAAATTGTTCCTCGTCTGCACCGAAGAAGATGAAGGTAGTCCGGCTATGTTTCGGAATCTGGAGGACGCTTTCTTGGGGATGGAATTGCGCAACGATTTCGGACCACAAGTAACAGATTCGTGGTACTACTAGCATAATACAGACTCAATCAAGACCATCCAATTGCTGTATACCAAGTTTATTTAGTGAACAGTTAGTCGTTAGCTGCAAACATTGCTAGTACTACCTTCGATAAATACCTTCCTCCTACCAAAAATATGAGTGACGTCATCGAGTGTATAACAACCATCTTCTCCTTCAGTTTCAACCTGACATAAATGCAAATACTCATCAATATTATACAAGCACAGCATCAAAATACAACCAGTAATATCGTCGTCGACACCTAAACCCTATTTTACCTTACAAATTACTACTTAATAGTGTTGTAGCAACCGACTGTAAATATCTCCCCTCCCATTGGCTAACCGCAAAGTAAAGACTCCCCGCACGTGACAGCGCGCCATGCGGGACGCGCCTCGAAAGGAAAGAAGGACGAGTTTGAACCCTCCACCTAGATGAAAGATATCAATAACTAGATTTACTGTTGATTATCTAGTTATACACGAATAAATCTCTCGTTGAAAATGTCGTACTATGACATTGATGCCATCTTGACAGATTCCCAAGTAGGTGGGAAATGAAACTGCATGCATGGGCTCATTCTTACACATCCGATCTATTCAGAAACTACCCTGCACGTTTGAATTGGACGTACCTGGTCTTGGTATTTTGGAGGGAAATGCGGGGGAAAATGTATGTTTCCTGTCTGATGTGCTTGTTGCTTTATTTTTTGTGCATGGAAGTGTGTCTTGCTAAATATGTGGTGTGTCGTGTGTGTGCTCTATCTAGATCAAAGCCGGAACGCGCATTGATTTGCCATTATGGCTGGGTGAGATGCTTTCTATCGGGTGAGTTTAATCCTTCACCATCAATATCTTGGAGAGATGGTATCGTCTAACTATCGCAGTGCCCGCTTGGGAACATCTCGACTAGTCACGCTGGATCTCCCCTCCGCGCTTTCAGAACGAGTCATGAATGCCTTGAAGGCTGATCCTCGGACGGTGGATCTGCGGTCCCTGGCACCGCATTTCTATAGTTTGAGTGAGCGGATTCTGGAGCTGTTTGAGGAGGAGGAATTGGTGGAGGTTTTGAGTAATGTATGGTGCTTTTGTAACCCGGGGGAAGGGGGGATTGATGTGGCTAATTGTGATGATGACGATAGACGTTTAAAAAGCGTTCAGCGGTCATTGCGGATCATGCGCATAATCCGCAGGGTGCTTTAGGGCAGGGAGCGGATTTCTTGCGAGGGTTGGATGAGACGGAGAGACAGCGTATGTTCCACCGTTGTGTCTGTGTGTCGTGCGTGTGTGTGTTGCTAATTACTGATGCTTGTGGGTAGTCTTCCGGGTTGCGCATGATAGTGCTAAGGACACGCGGGTCTGGGCTGGAGAGGCGAAGAAGAAGTGATGGTAGTGAGTGGAAGGTATGGTTGGTGAAAGGTTGAGCTGTGCTCGCCGGTATGAACATAAATTTATAACAGAAGACTAAGAGTAATTATGAAGTATCAAAATGTGATGACTATAATATTCATTATCCTTGGATTTACTATGTAGGGGTCTGGTTGGTAAATGTGGTCATAATGGTTGACATCTGGTTCTGGAAGTAAAGACTTGAAACGGCTCGATTAATGTCCTGCTGGTACTCGATTAATTGAAGGAACAACATGAAACAAAGTTACCCGAAACCCATCCTCTGAAAGTTCCGGTCAATCGCTGCGGATAACCCCTCACGCAGATTCCTGATCTTCATGTACTGTACTTCGTGCTCCGGAGATATGGAGGGAAGTCACGAGCTCAATGCTCTCCGAGATAAGAATGACTGGAAGGACATGTCAACTCCGACTGGCGGAGTAAAAAGCGCCTACGACCGGCATAACCGAGGGGTTGTGTTTGAAGGCCCACGAGCTGGGAGAGCTGGGAAGAATGGAGAAGGAAAAGGGGAAACCAGACAAAAAAGAGAAAATCTATTTCTGGGTGCCCGAGACGAGCCACGGGAAGAACGATGGGGCGAGTTATCTGTCACGGGGCGATGATGAAGGACTAAAGCTGAGAGCGATGGGGATGATGAGACGATGATTGCAGACGGACTGGTGTAGTGGGGAGGGGAGAACCACGGGCGGCCGATGGGTCCCTGGAACGTGGGGCAGCTTGAAGGAAAAAAAGGAGGGCAAGTTGACGGATCAGATTCTGCTGCAATTCCGGGCGGCTACACTGAGGATGATTATACTAGATAGATGGTAGATAGATTTGATGGCGAGGAGGGGTAGTGGAATCGTGAGATTTTAGCCGATAAAGTGGGGGAAAAGGGCACTGACATTGATGATTCCCGTCCCTTTGATTCAGTGGTAGCGATCCTTGTATATCCTCCGTAAAGATGCGTGTGATCAGTTAAGGGATGGAGCAATAGGAAGAGGTTACAGTAGGGATGGAGTGTGGTCACGAAAAAATTAATAGTAAAAGGTACGGGCTTTTCCAACCACTACTTACACACTTGACCAGCCACCCTAGCTATTGGTGGTCCTCAAATTCAGGACAATAGCAGAAGGAGAAAGGCGATTGGAAGCTTAAGTTCAGGTTCAGCCGGCCCAGCCATCGGAGACCATCCACTAAATCCACTGCACTAAACCGCACTAAGCCTGCCTGGGAGATGGTGGGAAGAGCGACCGGGACCGGGATCCAGTTCCTGACTTGCTGGTGCTCCGCTAAGGCCATTTTAGCCCGGGTTTTAGTGCCCTGCGATCGTTTGTTCCTTGAGCCTATCTCGTTGCTTTGCACGCCTTTTCCCCTCCCTCGATCCAAGACCATCCAGACTGCCTACTTGCCTACTTGCCTGCTTGCATTCATCACAATCATCATCACGCATTCATTCACTTCATCCTCAAATTCTTCTGCTCCCCCCCCTCGCTGGCATTTCGTTGTTCAGTCAACCTTCTTTGTTGCTTGGCAACCTTCCGTCCATACCACAGTAACTTCCCTTAAATCCAACGCATGCCTGCATGCATACATACCGAGAAACTCAAGATCCGGATCGCTCTCACTAACGAATCCCTCCCTCCCTCCATGGATGGATGCATGTGTGGAGATCATCTTCCTGTCACTCGGTCCCCTTTCTTGGCTGTGAGGATCCAACGATCGACTCGTCACACTTTCTCCTCACACTTTTTCTCTTTCGCTCCCCTCACGTCTTGACTTGATCCTTCTTTTTCTCGCTTCTGTCTTTGTTCTTCCCGTCCGAACTTACACTTCCTCCACTTCTGGATCCCCTCCTCGCCGTTCCCACTAGACGCTTGGACGCGCAGTGGGCCTAGTTTCGTCACCAATCGCCCTTTCTAGTCGCGTTTTCTCACCTTCCGCCTGAGACATTGCTTTTTCCTCCTTGCTCTATCGGTCGACTCCCTCCCC